GTTTCCTCTACTCTGGCCCTAACTAGAGCACCAACCCCTGCACTTATCTCAGTCCAAGTCACTCCTACGACAACCTCAATTGGATGTGTTTCATCCCAATGTCATGAAACTCCATCTTCATGTGTGGCTTTTGTCTGGTCCATTGCCTCTGCTCGAGAACTCACCCCTTGTGCAGCATCTTTGCTTACCAATATCATTTGACCTTCCTCTTTGTCTGTGTATCAGAGACATTGGTCTACTTTCAGACAGTGGTCCATTCACCGTGGCTTTTCTCCTTCTGTTCCTCATCTGTCTCTTTACCTGGTTATTTGATCAGGGTTTATCTGTGTTTACTGTTTCTAGTTATTGGGCTGCCCTGTACAATCCTTCCTATTTCTCCCATTTTCGTAAATTCTTCTTCTCCCCTATTATTTCCCTCCTTTTCCGTTCCTTTCATCTTGTTCATCCACCCTGTCCCTCTGTGCTTCTAGATTGGGATCTCAATGTGGTTCTTCCTGCCCTAGCCCGTTCTCCATTTGAACCCATTGCTACATGTTCTTTGTACCTTCTTTTTCATAACACCCATTTCCTTCTCCTCCTAGTTTGTGGTCATCGTCATTCTGATATTTATGCAATTAATGTTTACTGCACTCTTTACCGTTCTTCTTATGTTCTCCTTTATCCCAATCATTCCATCCCTCCTAAAATATCTCCTGTGCATGAAGGTTGTTTTGCCTTTTCTTCTATTTCCTTGCCTTCCATTTCCCATTTATATGCCAGTTCAGATCCATATCTTCTTCTGTGACTAACTTGTTCCCTTTCTTGTTATATATCTCGTACTGACTCATCTTGTGGTTCCCATTCTCACCTCTTTATTCCATGGAATCCCTCTGTTTCTTGTTATCTTTCTCCTATTACCCTTACTGGCTGGGTTTGGAAACTCGTACAGCTAGCTTATTCTGACTTGTCAGTTGAAAGTCGTCAGCTTTTTAATGTTTATTCACATCAATTATGCCGTTTAACTATGTCCTTAACTTTTTCAGCATAGGCTCAGTCTCTGGGACCAACCTCGTAACCATTTTGTGCTTTTAAATTAGTAAGTGTACATCAACAAAATTTGACAGATTATCAATAAACATTACATTTTTTTTTATTAAGTTGTAAGGTTTGTAAAGCAATGATTTTCTCATACCTTTTGTTTTCAGCTGTTGCCAATCTAACTTGCAAAGTAATTTTGATTTTAACATTAAATATACTTTTATGCACCAGAAAAATTTTCAAATTTCACATGTGAAATCTTTATAATGTCCAGATAGTTATCAAACGTTTCTTTATAAAAAAATTCACATTTTATCTGTTATTTTCAGTAATGAATCTCTGTAGGGGTTTGATCGATTTCGTAACTACCATAAAAAATTAGGAAATAAATATAAATTGTGCATTTTTCATTCTAGAATTACTACAAATTATAACACGAAAACATAACTGTTTGGACCAAATAGCTTAAATCTCATAACATTATATATTATAATTATTATACTGACCTTTCAGCCATGCCTGGCTAACAATACAGAAATTACAATGACTTGGCGCACGTGCACTCATACCTATCCAATAATGTAAAACTGACTTTTTGTCTTTAAAAAGTGACCTGTCTTGGCTGTGTTTTAGTAGACTAACATTTTTAAAATAGTCACATTTCAATTATTATGCATTATATATGTATATAGATTATTGCTATTTAGAAATTAGTTCTTAAACTTATTTTTCTTAAAACATAGAACAGCAAATAAAGAAGTAAAGCAAACAATCATCTCTTCTAGTTACAGCCTTTGTACTCGGTTGCTGCTTGACGTAGGTTGCTAAGACTTTTAAAATTTTGCACGTGAAGGATAAGAAACAAAATAATATTTTTTAGGTGTATATACAGCTGAATAACCAAAAAATCATAAATTACTATATTAATACCATAGAATTTCACAATAATTTATCAAGCTTAGTAACTATGCTGTATTTGTGTCTAACAAATAAGAAATTTCGAGCAGACTAAAGATACAACCTATCTCATTGAAATCTTGGTTCGAAAGAAAGAGATGGCATCCAAACACATTAAAATGGCTGAGAAAGCCATTAGGGGGACATTCTGAGCTTCCAAAGTAAGTGTATATAAGTGTAAGAGTTGTGCAGGTTTGCCACT